AATGCCTACTCGCCCGTACTGGATGCTCGCGACTCCAGGCTCTCCCGCTCTCCCGCACTGGACGCTTGCGATTCCAGGCTCTCCCGCCTTCCCGCTCCCGGAATCTCTCTACTGCGCTTTGAAACGCAGCGCTCGATTAGGTTTAAGTTAGTCTTTCTATGTCACACTACTGAAACACATCGCCCGGCCGGTCCGCGCTTTTTCCGAAAACCACAGCGAGTTTTTGTTCTTTCCTTTGCGCACCGCGATCGTCGAGTGTTTTTCTCACCATCTCTTCCAGCTTGCTACCCGGCTACGTGCAACAGCCGCAACGCCCGACGAAGCAGCTCCCAATCGACGATCACCCCCGACGCCCCAGCGTCAAAGCTTAATTGGTTCTTTAATGTTTCTTGCTGTTTCTACGCAACCAGACATCGCGTACGCAGAGAATTTTTTGAGTCAGTTTAACTCTAACTACTCAGATGAGCACTGGAAGGCATCGAAGCGTATCCTACGCTACTTAAAAGGTACGAAGACACTTGGGTTACTCTTCAAGAAAACTGGAGATGACATTTATGGTGTCGTGGATGCAGACTGGGGGTCAAATCTATCGGACCGACGCTCTTATTCGGGGCAGGCATTCATCCTGGCTGGCGCTTCCATATCTTGGGAGGCGCGTAAGCAACGTACCGTTGCATTATCGAGTACCGAATCAGAGTACTTGGCGATGTCGGAAGCAGTAAAAGAGGCGCTGTACCTCAAGGCTCTTCTTAACCGGATCGGATCGACTTGTGGATCGGTCCGAGTTTTCAACGACAACCAAAGCGCACAACAGCTGGTAAAAGGTTTCGGTTTTCATCCTCGAACGAAACACATCGATGTGCGCACCACTTTATCCAGGAGAAGGAGAAGAGTGGTGATATCACGGTTAAATACATGCCAACTGAGAAGATGCCCGCTGATGTCCTCACCAAAGGATTAAGCAGTAGCAAACAAGGCGTAACAAGTATATAAGTATAAGATTGCTTCTTTGAGGGGGTGTGTTCAAATTAAGCGGCTTAGTCAAAGTATCAATCTGGTAACATTAATTTCAGGCATCTTCTGACACAATTTTCTCCACACTTTTTTGGTTTACTCTATACTCGCGTTTCTGTATTCAAAGAGAACGGTCGAGCTCGCGTTTGGTTATCCGGAAAAGTCCGAAGATTATTAAATAAACTTTATATAATCATCAACGGCTATTGTCTACTTATTGAAACGGATACTCATGCACCTGCGTTAGGGAGAAAATCCCAACAAAAAGCCTTCTGAATTCTTTTAGAGACAGAAATAAGGCAAATTTTGTAATTCTCAATAATTAAAGCTCCTTTCTTTTACTCAATATGGACGCAGATATGAATATTGAGCTGTTAAACATAGATGGTGCATTGGTGCCCCATCCAGTAGTGCCTATAACAGGAGATGGGGCTTCCTGTTTAGGGAAAGCTTTTACATGAAAATAAAGACTTTTTTGACATTATTCGTCAGGCGATTGTTGGATATTTTGTTCGCCGATGGAATATCTTTGCGCAGTACACTTGCAACACCATGGGTAACGCATATGACAATTGTGTTGCATACGAAAATGCCCACACGTTTGGGTCATATGCAGAGGTAGAAGCTTCATGTCATTTGTATCCTATTAATATTGAAGTATTTCAAGATGGGATTTGTAGGTCAAACTCAGGAACTTTAGGTAGCACTTTAAAAAGGCTGCGCATTAATGGTAATCCTGTTAGTGGCCATTACGATGTTTACATACCTTCAGAAACTATGCCTGATTCTTTTCGGACGTTGATGCACTATGATCAGCGCAAACAAGTGGCCCTTACGACACTAGGCAGTGCTTGTTACGCGCGGAGCCTAATAGGCGTAAAAACGAGATCGGGGGAAGTTAAAAGCACAATGTAGAAGCGGACAGACTAAGATTACAAATACGTACGAGACTAATACTAATACTAATTTTTTGCTAGGTAAGATAAAATTAATGATTATAGGCTTGGCAAAGAGTCGGTAGTAGAAATAATGTGGTATAGTTTATTATAGTCGTTACACAGTACTCTAAACGGTTCATGCATATCAAAGTTAGATCTACAAATATTTAATGTAAGAGGAACATAGTTCCTGGTAATTCTATTAGGCACGGAGAAGCTTATGCGACCCAGTAACTCGGGACTCTCCACATCCCCGTGAATAAGTTTATAGATAAAAGTTGTGCCAAGCATCGTTCTACGGTTTACTAAGGATGGTAGATTAATTAGGAGAAGTCTACTAGAGTAGGATGGTAAAATAAGGCTTGCATTCCAGTTAAGGCCCCGTAGAGCAAATAATAAAAAGTTCTTTTGCACAGACTCTATCCGGTCTATATGTACACCATACTGAGGACTCCAAACTGCAGAACAGTACTCCAGGATTGGACGAACGGAAAAAAATCTTTGTAACATAGGGATCATCGAATTCCTTTGACCACCTTTTAATAAATCCAAGTACACCCCTGGCTTTATTCACCATAGACGTAATATGGTCACAAAACTTAAGTTTAGGGTCAAGGAGGACGCCAAGGTCATCAACATGCGTAATTCTAGACAACGCGCAACCACCAGCGTATACGTTGCATATTGTGGGTTCACCCGAAAAAATGTCATTACTTTGCACTTAGCGCTATTTAAATCCAAAAGATTTTCACAACACCATGTTTGAAAAGCGTTTAGGTCAGATTGTAAGTCTGAACTGCTAGAAATTTCGTTATATTGCAGGCATAACTTAACGTCATCTGCGTACATAAGGACACGCGACTTTGTCAAGACTAGAGGGAGATCGTTTATAAATAAAGTAAAAAGAAGTGGGCCAAGGTGGCTTCCTTGTGGGACGCCTGAAGTAACTCGGATCAAATCAGAAATCGAGTTTTTAAAGAGGACTCGTTGAGTCCTACCACTCAGATAACTTGAGATCCATGTTAGAAGATCACATGGAAACCCTAATAAGTCTAGCTTTAATACAAGTAGCGAGTGATTTACTGAATCAAACGCTTTACTAAAGTCAGTGTAAACTACGTCAGTCTGCATGTTCTTTCTAAAGCCATTTATTACAAAAGACGTTAGCTCCAAGAGGTTTGTCGTCGTAGATCTTCGCCTTATAAATCCATGTTGACATGGAGATATAATCGATCTACAAAGATGTTGCAAATGGGGTGTAATAGTGTTTTCGAAAAGCTTTGGGATGGCGGATAATTTGGATATGCCTCTGTAATTACTTGTATTGCATTTATTTCCTTTCTTATGAAGGGGAATGACAAATGACTCCTTCCAAATAAAAAAAGTTCAACTTCCTCCGTTTAAGACATTACCTTAACCGCTTAAGAATTTATTAATTGGAAGCCATCCTGACCATGCTCATTTCATGGCAAATTCAAGAAAGTATAATAATTGCTTTTAAATGACATCATTTGGTAGTGGAAAAATTGTATGCAATACTTAAATGTCTACGTTTAAAGTGCAAGGACAAGTCTATCATTTAATAGGTAATCTTTTACCAACCTCTCAAACAAATGCCCAATTTCTTCAGATATATTTCATTGGTGAAGATGATTGCAAGGTGAACTTAAGGTGTAAGCACAACTCCGGTGTTTAACAAGACTTAATAAAATCTCTACAGTCAATGTTGCATAAATGCAATCGATACATTAAATATTTTAAAACTGCTCTTAATAAAGTTCCAAAAGATTGCAAAGAGTTCAAAATGGTCATTAACGCTGATAAAAAGCCAGCAAATGCTCATAGAGGTCGATATAATGCACCTCAAACAAATGAAGTGGCTTTGGTATTAGTTGATCAGTCAGTCGGGACATTTTTATTGAGAGTCATAATAGCAAACTTAAGAGAATCGGTGAACTTCACCGATCTTATGACTGTTTACAATATCCATTTATTTTTTGCCACGGAGATGATGGATTTGCCATACATATTCCCAAACGTGATCCGTTAACAAAAAATGATCTAAAGAAGACTGTATCTGCATTAAGCTTTTACAGTTATCGAATAATGCTTAATAATGCTGAAGTCAATCACTTGCATTATTATAGAGCACTGTTTAATCAATTTTTGGTTGATATGAGTGCAAAAATGGAAACCGAACGGCTTAATTATATTCGAGCAAATCAAAAAAAGTTGAGGGCAGAAAGTTACATATGTACATCTTCAAGACGCTATAGGTAGGAGAGATGCAGATGTGACTCAACTTGGCAGATGGTGATTTTACCTTCTTCTACTTCTCTACTATTACAGGAATATATGGTTATCCCCAATATCGGCGAAGAGCGCCAAGTGATGGAGGGCTTACTGTTGAAATTAACGGTAAAACTGTTGACAATCGTTGGGTTGTGCCATACAAACGCTTTACTAAAGTCAGTGTAAACTACGTCAGTCTGCATGTTCTTTCTAAAGCCATTTATTACAAAAGACGTTAGCTCCAAGAGGTTTGTCGTCGTAGATCTTCGCCTTATAAATCCATGTTGACATGGAGATATAATCGATCTACAAAGATGTTGCAAATGGGGTGTAATAGTGTTTTCGAAAAGCTTTGGGATGGCGGATAATTTGGATATGCCTCTGTCATTACTTGTATTGCATTTATTTCCTTTCTTATGAAGGGGAATGACAAATGACTCCTTCCAAATAAGTGGGAAATGAGATGTTTTTAAAGACAAGGTAAACAATTTGTACAGAGGTCTACACAGAGTTTCAGCACAGTACCTCAGCACGCAGCCTGGAACTCCGTCCGGACCCGGTGAATAGACAGGCTTAACTTTATGAAGATCCAAAAGAAGGGAGCTTTCGCTTAACCTCGGACAAAAAATCAAGTTCGACTTGGGTATGGCATTTGAATAAGACGGATTTGGACGGGATGAAACAGAATATGTGGTCTGGAAAAACTGGGCAAATAGATCGGCAATTGCCTGATCAGAATTTGCCGTAACACAGCCGTTTCAACTCCCGAATAGGTCGGGTCGTTTTTGTCCACTATTCAGCGAAGAAGTAAAGGCAGCTACAAGTGTTTAAATCTAACCACAAAAAAAAAACCAAAACCACATACCATTAATTCAGCTCGTCTATATTTTTTATTTTTTTGTGATTACAAATTTTAAAAGTTTAAAACGGGGATTCATCCCCTTAAGCAAAAAATGGCGCTCTCAGCCAAGGGTAAACCCTTGAGCTTAGATGCAGCCATTACAAAACGCCCAAAAATTACCGGAATACAAAAAAAGAGGAGATCAAACGAAATTGAAGTGAATAAAGAAGTGGAAGAGAGAATGGAGATGGATCATACAGAAACGCCAGAGAACATAACGGATTCATGTGAGACAAACGCACAGAAGGGCATTAACCTGGAGAATGGCAGTAAAAACCAACCAAAAGAAGGAGATAAAGAAAATGGCATTGCCAGCAATAAGGGAAAGCATTCTATGCAGGTATTTGAACCTCTTTTTTACCCCAGCAATCATAAAGGACCGTTTTTCGTTTATATTGACAAAATTACCGAACATGGTGATAACTATAACAGACTAAATAGGAAACCAATTAACGCATTAGAACTTAATGTAGTTCTTTTTAACCTTAAACTGAAAGACATAGTAAAAGTGAACAAAATTGGCTACGGGCGCTGTAAAGCAGAGTGCAGGTCAGCGAAAGCAGCTAATGACTTGGTAAATTCTAATTTAAACAAGAGAGAACGCTATAGTCGGGTGCCCCGACTATCAGATACCCGTTACTCAGGTAAAGGGAGTGCGAGGGAGATGGAGATAGAAACTTTGATCACGCATAACTTTTTAACGAATGGTCCGATTTGAAAAATTTATTCTACATTTCGATAGGTATTGATAAACACAATAAAACTGCATTTTTACTTTTCCGAAATATTTAAATTTTTAAAATCGTATATTAGCGATTGTGGGCGTTAAAGGGGGCGTGGCACCTTTTTGAAACAAACTTGCGCTGCGTAGGAACTCCTAGAATCTGCATGCAAAATGCCAATCTTCTAGCTTTTATAGTTTCCGAGATCTCAGCGTTCATACGGACAGACAGACGGACAGACAGACGGACAGACGGACAGACGGACAGACAGACGGACAGACGGACATGGCTAGATCGACTCGGCTAGTGATCCTGAACAAGAATATATATACTTTATAGGGTCGGAAACGCTTCCTTCTAGCTGTTACATACTTTTGCACGAATACAATATACCCTTTTACTCTACGAGTAACGGGTATAAAAATGAAGGGTACGAACCCAAAATACTAAAGCATTTCATTTTTAAAACCGGCATTATTTTTCAAATCCCCACCAAATTTTCTCTACCTGAATTAAAAGAATTCATCTCATCGCCAATTCCCATCCATGATATTATCCGAGTTAATAGGAAAAACGAAAATAAAGATATGGTACCTACCTCCAGGGTTAAAATAATTTTTGAAGGAGCGCAAATTCCGGAGGAAATCATCTTCTTATATACTAAAGTTAAAGTCGAAATGTTTGTTCCGTTTAGTCAGTGCTTCAGATGTTTCAGGTTTGGACATTTTGCCCAACACTGCAAACAAACTAATGAAGTTTGTCGCGATTGTTCTTTCGAGCACCCAAGAGAAGAGAAATGTACTGTTCTAAAGTGCGCAAATTGCAAACAGCCTCATTCTGCTACTGAGCTTGGATGCCCAGCAAGAAAGAGGGCTTTTGCTATACAAAAATGCATGACAGTTGAAAATCTTTCTAGAGTAGAAGTCAAAACCAAATTTCCAGCTTTATTTGAGAAGCAAACTGCCAACTCTTTTGAAATTTTTAATTCTTCTGATTTTCCTCTGCTTCAGACCCAGAAAAAATCAGCCATACCTGTGTTGCAAAACAATATGAAGGCTGCTGCAGAAAGCATCCACAATTTTATTCCCTATAATAAAGTAGTAAAAATTAACCAAAACCGCATAAATGAGAATAGAAATGCTCAAGTCACTATGGACAGCTACAGATCTGCAATTAGAGAAAACAGTTATTCTCTTAATGAAAAATTCATTCCTCCTCCTTCCCAATCTTCAATTTTTTCACAGTTATCTCAATCTTCTAATTTTTCACAGCAACAACAAACCACCTCTCCATCCCAACCTTGTTTGACCCAATCTTCAGCCCTAGAAACAGCTGAAAACAGTTTAATTTCTATCTCCTCTCAAATTTCTTCATTTTTACTAGAAAATAACTCAGACATTCTAGCAGATGCTAGAACATTTTTAGAAAATTTAAGAACACGTATTGCCAAAACGAATTCAGAAATTGATGTGCAAAAATTGCGCACAGGTTTCCAAATTATTATTTGTATTTTTGTCTTATTGTTTTTAGAAGCTTTTCAGTATTATTTTTATTTTCTAATTTTTTGTTATTTATTTATTTATTTTTATTTTATCCTTAATTTATGAAAATACTACTGTATAATATTCAAAGTGTGACAGCCAATAATAATAAACAGCTTCTCGAACTTTTTTTAGTCAATAACAACGTGGACATTGCCCTTTTGTCTGAAATTTGGATTAAAAATAATGCTATGTGCAGTCTTGCTAATTTTAATTTTGTATGTAAGCCCCGTAATGACGGTTATGGGGGTGTAGGTATTTATATAAAAAAAAATATTAAATATAAAATTATTAACTGTGATACGGAAATTGAAACCATTGGAATCTCTACGATCAACTTAAAACACAATATTAATGTTTTCAGTGTTTATGCTCCGCCTAGTACCAACGTAAATGACTTCGAGAAAGGTTGTAGAGATACCCTTATGACGGTAACGGCTCTTGGGGGACTATCTATAGTAGGTGGTGACCTAAATGCTAAGTCGTCTATTTGGGGAAACTCTACACATGATAATAAAGGTCAAATTTTAGAACAGGTCCTCATTTCTGCAGGCTTTGTCTGTCTAAATGATGGTTCTCCCACTTACTCTCCAAATCCGTCATATTTTTCAGCACTTGATCTAACTTTTGTAAACAAAGATAACCTTTCTCTTAAATGGTCTTCCTCAAATTCCAAAATTTCCAATAGTAACCATTTCCCAATAATATTAGAGTTGACAAATTTCGCTGCTTCTGCGAATAGTTATAAGCTGCTGCAGTCGCAAATTTTGGACGATTTTTCCAAAATTAAAATTACTTCTTTAGACAATCTCACAGATACAACAAACAACATTTTAAAAAGTAATACAGTTAAAATCAATGAGAATAACAAATTTATCCCAAAAAAATACTGGGATAAGACTTGTGAGAGACTTTTTAGATTAAGAAATGCCAGTAGACAAAAATATTATAAAACCAAACTTTTATCAGACGCTAAAATTTTTCTTGAAAATAACAAAAAATTAAATAACTATTTTTACAAGGTAAGAAAGGAAAATATGAAGAAATTAGCAGATGATTTGACAAACCCAAAGTCAGTGAAAGAAATGTGGCAAACTATCAAATCTTTAAAATCGTACAAGCAAATTAAACCCACTAGCAGCCAATATAATGATTCTGATCACATCGCTTTCCTACACCAGATCTCCTCAGCCCCAGACACCCCAGAATGTAATCAAATGGAATTTCCCTCTTTTGACATTCAAACCTTAAATAGAACGTACTTTTCGGCATCTGATCTCACTAAATTTTTAAAAACACGTAACCCAAATTCTGCAAAAGGTTTAGACAACATTTCTTATAGCATGCTTCTCTCCTTACCCCCTGACGAAATCCAAAATTTGGTATCTATGGTTAATGAAATTTTTAACGATGGCACAGTACCGGATTCTTGGCGTAGAATTAAAGTTGTTCCAGTCCCAAAAAAGAACACTGATTCGTCTATAATTACAAATAACCGACCAATCTGTCTTTTAAGTGTTGTGCTTAAATGTCTAGAAGGTCTTATTAAAGTCAACATGGAGATGCACATAGATAGTTTTAGTTTAATTCCAAATCGGTCTTACGCTTTTAGGAAAAACCACTCCACAGCTCACTGCATCAACGACGTTATTAATAACATTGCTAATCTAAAAGCTAAAGGTTTTCATGTCACAGCAGCAGTACTAGATATAAGTAAAGCTTTTGATTCAGTCAACATCCCAATTTTAGCAAATATTCTTTTAGATAGGGGTTTCAACTCTTTAGTTATTAATTTTATAATCGGCTTCCTAAGTAAAAGAGTTTTAACTATGGGTAACTCCGAAATTACAGTGAGTAAGGGAGTCAGCCAGGGTAGCTGCCTTAGTCCTATACTTTTTAATTTGTACACCTCTGATTTGCATGACATAAGTGATCATCAAAGCACTTTATTTCAATACGCGGACGATTTCTTTCTCATTACTTTTGACAAAGATTTTACGACTGCAAGAAATGTTCTTGAACATAAAGTAAATGTTTTTAGGGAAATGTGCAATTCTATTAATTTAACGTTTAATCCGCTCAAATCGTCTGTGATGCATTTCAATAATAGGAGTAAAATATTAAATATTATGTGCAATAATGTAGCTATTAACGATGTAGATCAAGTTATTTATTTAGGTAGGACCATTTGTACAAATAATTCTTCTATAGGACATGTCAAACATATCTTAGCCAAAGCTAACAAATCCAATATGTTTTTAAATATGTTAAGTGGATGTCGTTTTGGCATTCATCCTAGCAAGGCCCTTAATCTTTTTAAGGCTTTTGTTAGGCCCAAATATGAATACGCCTGCTCTTCTTTCGCTAGCATTTCGAAAACGGTAACAAACAATATTAAGGTCCATGCAAATTTCTTCCTCAGGAAATCTCTTGGACTTATAAAATCGACTCCTGTTAACATAATATACCATTTAGCAGTTGAACTTCCTCCGGAATATAGACTAAAATTTACTACGGCGAAGGAATTGGCCAAAATTTTCGCTCATGGTTTACCAGCAGCCTCTCTTTTGACTAATGATTTCGCAGCAAAAAACACGAGCTATATAAAGGTTTACTCGGAATTCAAAGATATTTATGATTCAATTGCTAATCTAAACATTTCTTCTTATAAATCTCGGAAAATCTCGATGGATGTGGATTTTTTTAAGGGCATTATCCCAAACAAGAAATTGTCTAATACGTCTTTAGTCAACTCGCTTTTAAAAGAAAAGCTCGACATTTTAAATAAAAAAGGTTTTGAGATTTTATATACTGACGGCTCAGTTCAAGAAAATTTTATTGCTAATACTAAACGTTCCTCGCTTACTGCCGAGCTTACAGCCCTGGAGAAAGCCATCGACTTTGCTAATTCTGAAAATTTTATGAAAGTAGCCATCCTGACTGACAGCCTGGGTGCGCTGCAAACACTGAAGAAAAGCTGTGTTTCCAACTGCATAGCTTTAGACATACTCAAAAAAATAGAAAATAGTCAAAGTATCCTATATTTCGAGTTACACCACTTACCCAGCCATCTAAATATTGAAGGAAACGAATTGGCGGATTCAGCAGCAAAAAATGCCAGAAACGGTGGCACATGTACAGTGACTCCATCGCTTAATCGGACAAGTACCTTCTTATGATAAATGTGCTCTAAAAATATACTAAATGGGCTTAATTAATTTTTTAAAATTTTTTTATTATAAATATACACTTTCATCTATCTAAAACAAAAGAAAAAAGTCAACATTTTTGTTAAGAACCCAAAGTTTTCAAACAAATACAAATTTATATCGATATTTGGCGCTCAACGAATAATCGGACAATCCCAAAATTAACACAAAAAATCGTTTTTTTTCTTGAAATTCGATGCAAACTTTAGGCTTTTTGAATTGCGTTTGGTTTATTATAGAGATTAGGAGCAGAAAACATAAATTTGCTATTATAAAGTAGAAATATGACTCCAAATGGAAAGCAATCCTCTGTAGAACTTCGGCAGTTAGTTGTTAAGGTACATTTTGAAGGAAAAACTGTAAGGGAAATCTCCGAATTAGTTGGAAAAAGCAAATCTACGGTCCACGACATTATTAAGCGGTTCCGTGATAAATTTAGATTTGCCAATAAAAACAGGGAAGGCCAAAAAAAGATCTTAAATGACCGAGAAGAGGGTCGGATTTAAAAAGAAATTAAACAAGATCCCTTCAAAACTGCTAAATAACTAAAGATTTCTTTACAAAACCGAATTGGTAAAGACGTGTGTCTCAATACTGTGCGTAATACTTTAAATAAATTCAATTTCCCCGGAAGATTTGTGAGGAAGAAGCCCTTTATTAGCCCCAAGAACAAATAAAATCGCATTAAATATGCAAAAGAATATTTGATGAAAACAGGGGATTTTTGGAAGACGGTAATATAGTAGTTATTGAGCTCAAAAAATATTTTTGTTGATTTTTTTATTTAAATAGAACCTTTAATTAATTAATAAAAATCAACAAAAATATTTTTTGAGCTCAATAACTACTATATTACCGTCTTCCAAAAATCCCCTGTTTTCATCAAATATTCTTTTGCATATTTAATGCGATTTTATTTGTTCTTGGGGCTAATAAAGGGCTTCTTCCTCACAAATCTTCCGGGGAAATTGAATTTATTTAAAGTATTACGCACAGTATTGAGACACACGTCTTTACCAATTCGGTTTTGTAAAGAAATCTTTAGTTATTTAGCAGTTTTGAAGGGATCTTGTTTAATTTCTTTTAAATCCGACCTCTCTTCTCGGTCATTTAAGATCTTTTTTTGGCCTTCCCTGTTTTTATTGGCAAATCTAAATTTATCACGGAACCGCTTAATAATGTCGTGGACCGTAGATTTGCTTTTTCCAACTAATTCGGAGATTTCCCTTACAGTTTTTCCTTCAAAATGTACCTTAACAACTAACTGCCGAAGTTCTACAGAGGATTGCTTTCCATTTGGAGTCATATTTCTACTTTATAATAGCAAATTTATGTTTTCTGCTCCTAATCTCTATAATAAACCAAACGCAATTCAAAAAGCCTAAAGTTTGCATCGAATTTCAAAAAAAAAACGATTTTTTGTGTTAATTTTGGGATTGTCCGATTATTCGTTGAGCGCCAAATATCGATATAAATTTGTATTTGTTTGAAAACTTTGGGTTCTTAACAAAAATGTTGAGTTTTTCCTTTTGTTTTAGATAAGTGAAAGTGTATATTTATAATAAAAAAATTTTAAAAAATTAATTAAGCCCATTTAGTATATTTTTAGAGCACATTTATCATAAGAAGGTACTTGTCCGATTAAGCGATGGAGTCACTGTATATCCCTGCGATACACTCTAAACGATGCCATCACACATTTATATAATCGCGTCATGTTGGACTGGGAAAGAGATTATAACACTTTCTGCATAGAAAGAAACAGAGGATATTGCCTATTATTTCCGTATGTTAATGGAAAACCTTGGTTCAAAGATAAAAACTGCAGTTTAAACCGTCTTGAAGTTAAGCAACTAAACAGAATTTTAAGCGGACATGCTTTTGACAAGTACACGTTACACAAATTAAAAGTCTTTGACAATTCTATTTGCGACTGCAACTCCAATTCAATTGAAGATATTTCTCACATTTTATTAAAATGCTCAAAATACGGAACTATCCGTAGAAACTTCCCGCTTCTACTTAAATATGACGATATATATCGGTTCTTTGCGCACGAACCAATAAAAAATTACACCTTTATTACTCAATTCATACGCTCAGCCAAAATTGATTTATGATTTACATTTCATCACACTATTACACATTAATACATCATACATTTTTAACACATCATATCATAATACACTTTAATACACATATTCACATTCTCACATATGCCTAACATCTCACACTAACATCGATAACACTTTCATCGGATTTCATCGCACATCTTCATAAACACACAACACGACATCTCACACTTATATTCGTTTTGATCAATTTCTAACCAGTGTCTTGAAATTTCATTTCACACATAGGCGGTGGCGTTTACCCGTTTTACAATATACGGGACGGCCAAATAAATCTTCCCCAATTTTTTTGGTTGGTTTGGAAGTAACTTAATACTCAAAAACAAAAAAAAAAAAGAATTTGCCGTAGAGTTTTCGAATGATAGTGATGCAGGGTAACAGGCTGATTTACGCTTAGTGTTAACAAAATTATAAAACTGTTTTGGATCTTGTGAAAATTGGACCCTACAACGAGTCAAATAGCTTTTATAACACCGGGCGTTAAGCACGATAAAATTTGACCGAGCCCTTAGGTACCGAGAGAAGGCAGATTGTGAACCGCACATTTTAAATTTATTGAAAAGTCTGGACTTTATATTTTTTAGGTGTGACAACTCTTTATTAAACCATGGAGGTTTATTTGAAATTGACGGATAGTATAACGGAACACACAGATAAAAGAAGGAATTCAATGCATTATAAAAATTCGGACCAGTCATAGCCGGATATAAAAGTATTTAAAAGATGAAAGTTTGCCTTACGAAAGCAGCGGATTCGTTTAACCGACTTTTCGGATTTTTTATTCAGCTCTGTTCTTGCGTCTACAGTCAGCTCTAGAGTTGGATGATAAGGATCTTCTGGTTGTGTAATTGGTGACGTTCTTGATAGGCAAACGCCTTCTGAATTTGAAACAAAACACAAGTCCAGTAAACGTCCTAAGGAGTTCTTAACATGGTTCACTTGGGATAGCGCAATGTCAAGCAAGTCGTCAATAAAGTGTAGAGGTGCTTGTCGCTGCAAAACAAAATTCTAGGCCTAAAATTATGCAACAGTTTTGCGTACACTTTTAGTAGTAGACACAGATCGCTGTAGCACACCGGTATGCGAGAATAACAGCCAATTAGCAGTAGACAAAGTTAATCACTGGCTCAGGGACATATACACCCATATGATTAGAGGAAATTATCTATGAATTGATTAAAACTGAATTGTGAGTAAAACCTAACGAGAAGGTAAAAGGAAGAAAAATAATGAAAAAAATGAAATAATATATGGTATAGTTAAAAATAGTAATTGAGGAAAATAATACTAGAATAAAAATATTCGATTTAATTTTGGAGTTTTAGCAGATTCGATTTCCAGGGCAGAAGTTAGCCAACATGTGCACCCGTCGACACTGGAAGAAAATAGCTAAATTTCCTCTGTCACTGTCAGTTTGACAATTCGAAAGCCGCGTGTCCAGGAAAAGCCGAGGTTACGGGCCCGATCCGAACTCTACCCTCTGCCTATTTGGCGAACACTCTTGGACCGACCACATCGCAGCCGCGCTGCACTAGTTTCCCCAAGTCCAAAATCATAAAAATCTTAGAGGCATATATCCATCCATCGACGGCAAACCCCTAAGTGGGAATATAATTACCAATTCTCATTGTTAATATAAAACAAAAGGTAATTTAATCAAAGGCCGAGCGATACTTTGAAGTGGTAAATTCTAACCTTTTATTTTCTAGAGGCGAGCATATCGCTTGCGACAGGCCGATATCGGCAAACAAGCAGCTCGCAAATACGAGGGAGGGAAGTAACTACGAAAATTATACTTTCTGCGTGCCCATAGCAGCACCCATACCTACACATAGGCAGCGTCAGATCAGCCGCGGCCGTCCAAGCCGAGCTTTAATTGCTTCTTCAGCGCTCGCTGCAGCTGCAATTTAGTCTTCGAAAACAGCGCTCGCATTAAGTCGGCTGAGGCTTACAGAGGCTCTACCTAACCCCAGGCGGGGTTAGGAAAGGCGCCTACAAAGGAAAAGCGACTACAGAAGTAAAGCGTCTACAGAAAGTGCAAGGAAAATCTAATTTTTTTTAATTGGCCCAATCTATACTCTCTTCCTAGAGAAAAAGTAATTTTTTTTAGTATTTGAAGAAATGTAAAGTCCCAAAACCCAAGCAGGGAAAAAATCAAAAAAGTCAAAATGTAAGAGAATGGTGCAGTGAAAAGTAGTGCGGAGAGAAAAAAAAGGAAAATACGGAAAAAGTGAAATCAAAAGTTATAAACCTTTTTGGCAAGAAAGTATAATGCTAAAGTATTTGTGCTAAACACGTTAAAAATATAAACAAAAAAAAAATGTATTTAATAATACAACAAAATAATTGGCAAAAATGAGTGAACGAAATTAAATAATTATAAAACAACCAAGCATAAAACTCGGCAGCAGCCAGCATTCCCCCCTCTCTCCCACAGGATCGTCGCCGAAAGCGCTTTCGTCGCGGGACTGCATACAGAGCGGTGAGTTTAAATCACAAGCTAGGCTTGCTTAGATTTTGGTAAAAAGTACCGTTCAGTTAAGTTTGCAAATTTTGAGCCGGCAAAGTTAAGAAAAAAAATTAATAAAAACCAAAAAAAATAAAAAGAATGCAAACAAAAGAAAATATGCAAAAGCAAAAACATGCAAAACATAAAACGCATTGATATTACTCGTGCCATGAATAGCAGATACTCTATATTTTTTCTTAAAACTTTTGATATCAACTTAAACATATTTTAGCCTATTATATTATTACACTTTCTTCTATAATATTATTATTTTACTGTTTCCCGCCATATTATCTTTCCCACAGCTCCATTCTCATGACTTTTAAAATAAAATTAGTTTCACTTAATAATAAATATAAATAAATTGTTAAATATAGTAAATTCAATTAAATCTAAATTTAATAGCTTTAATATTATTCCCATGGAAATCTTTAAATGAATATTTATTATGAATAAATACGAGATATACGAAATGAACTTCCACTAGTCGGACATAAAAGGGGTCATGCAAAATAAAAATATGGCAGGGTATTAGAAGGTCGACTTGACCAAGGGACCATTCTCAGCAACATGATCTTTTTCGGATCGAATGGTCAAGGTAGGGCGGGCATAAAGCGTTGCTACAACAACACCAACAGCAACAACAACAAGTCAACATGTTCTAGGGTATTTGTTACTTCTTATTGATTGTCTTGATTTCTTTTCTATTTGTTTTTCCTTAGTTGATTAAAGTGTATATCTATGCCCCCTATTCCCCTAAGCACGCGAAATCAGATATTAGTTACGTACGCGAAGTCAGCAGTACGAGTAGTTAAGTTTTAACCCACCACCACTTTCCCGAACGAGCAGAATCCGGTAGCAACGCGTGCTGAACTACGATCGTATCGACCATCCGCTGACCTATGAATTTTTTTTCACCCGTAGAATGCTACAACTAATATTTGTGGCGCCCAGCAACGTGTGGCCTGATTACTGGCAAGCCATTCTTTTAATTTCTTTCAACTTTCTCCTACACTGGAATAATTTTTTGTTATTAATTTCTTTTAACTTTCTACACCTACACTGAAAAAAAAAAAAAAACATCTATAAAATTAAAAATATAATAAATTGAAAAGATAAATATAATTTCAAATTTCGTTTTCTCTATCAACTTTCTCCACCTACACTGAAAAAAAAAAAAAAAAATATTTATAAAATTAATTATAATATACAAATTGAAAATAATCATTTCGAATTTTTTTTTTTCAGTGCAAGCCAATGATTTCTATACACTTTTATCAATCCTATCTATTATCTATACTATCCCTTACTATAAAATCGACAATAGTCTTACGAAACGGACAGGTTGAGGGTGATAAAATCATAAAGCCTTGTTTGTGTAAAAGTAAATATTGTCGAGCAAAGCATCTCCCAGTTGGAATTAGGAAGTAGGTTTTAGATAACCGTGTTCCAACCAACGGAAGATGTTGGGAATTTATTTCTTCAAGTAGAACCGGAAAAGTTGAAAAATGGAAATCCTTTATCCTTTTCTGAAATCCTTTATCCTTTTCTGAAAACTTTTTGAAAGATATTTAGTCCCATTTAGCTATTGAAAACAGTTACTTTTAAAATAGGTGCTAGTTCTAGGTAAAATAATTATTTTCATCTTTGTATTGTTTTTTTGAGTAGAGCCGGAAAAGTCGAAAAGAGGGCATGACTAAGTTTATCCTTTCCTATGGTTTTAGTCACATTTAGCTATTGAAAAACAACTACTTTCAACATAAGTGCTAGTTCTAGCTAAAATATCTTTCCTTAAAATCTTTTTTTTTTGTTTTCTCGTTCAGTCTACAAGTTGTGGCGTAGTGCAAAACATGGTTTAGTACTACAAAATGAATTCCGTGCAAAACCACAACCCAGTGTACTTGTCTCATATATACAAATCCCGCAAATAACTAATTGCATGACCCTGCATAACTTTGAGATACAGCTACATATTTTTGAAAAATTTTACTTTTAAGTCTGAGTATAATTAGTAAAGAGAAAAATGCCTTTAGTGCGTAGTCCAGAAACGATACCGGAAGAAGAAATCGCTCTACACTGTTATATCTGTACAAAGCCTATTGAATATAAAGCGCAACTGCTGACTACCGAGTGCGATCACACTTTTCATCGGGTTTGTTTTAATACCCAAGTCCGTAAGGTGTGCCCCGTCTGTAGGACCCCTGTTGAGTCAACTGAAGATTCCTTAGGAAACAACCCGGAAGAGCAAGACCAGCAAGATTTATCCGAGATGGATTTGCATGCAGAGGAAAACAATATGAGCAGTATAGTGCAGGCGATAACCAAGGCAATGGGAGCCGCTGCACTTAGGCAGTCACGAACCAATAAAAAATTACACCTTTATTACTCAATTCATACGCTCAGCCAAAATTGATTTATGATTTACATTTCATCACACTATTACACATTAATACATCATACATTTTTAACACATCATATCATAATACACTTTAATACACATATTCACATTCTCACATATGCCTAACATCTCACACTAACATCGATAACACTTTCATCGGATTTCATCGCACATCTTCATAAACACACAACACGACATCTCACACTTATATTCGTTTTGATCAATTTCTAACCAGTGTCTTGAAATTTCATTTCACACATAGGCGGTGGCGTTTACCCGTTTTACAATATACGGGACGGCCAAATAAATCTTCCCCAATTTTTTTGGTTGGTTTGGAAGTAACTTAATACTCAAAAACAAAAAAAAAAAAGAATTTGCCGTAGAGTTTTCGAATGATAGTGATGCAGGGTAACAGGCTGATTT